GGATTCGCCATGTTGGCCAGGCTGGTTTTGAACTCCTGATCTCAAGTGATCCACCTGCCCTGGCCTCTCAGAGTGCTGGAATTACATGTGTGAGCCACAGCACCCAGCCGATTGACGGGAATTTTAAAGAACTGATGGTTAGGATGAATCAACAGCAATTCAAAGTAACCGAGACCTCCTGTGTCCATGTGAACGGCCGGTGCTTCTGGACACACAGAGGGGTAAGTTTGCCAGCAGCACACCAGTTCACAAGAGCTAACGATGGCTACCTCTCTGAGAAAACACAAAACTGTGAAAGGTCAAAGCAAGTCAATTTTAGTAACAAAGCACCTGGTTTCCAGGGAGACGAAAGGGAGATGCCAAAACATGGGAAGTAGCTGGATGCCGACCCGATGGAGGACCACCCCCTTTCCACTGGGCAAGCAGGGACTTCTTTGGTCAGTGCTGCTGCTCAGACACACCGAGCCAGGCGCATCGTCAGAGGCGGCACATCAGGCAGGTGTGAGCAGCTCAGGGCCAACGAAACAGAAGTGATGGCGCTGGAGCCCCCATGCTCGGCCCTGGAGTGTGCCGTTCTGCAGAGCGGTTTCACCAGAAGCTAGTTACTCCATGGAAAGCACCATCTTTTGGCCTGAGATGCCGCTCTCCAAGGTTTCTCTGATGTTAAAATGCCCAGCATTTTGCTGAATGACAGTGCAGAGGGGCAGGCGTTTTTCTCTTAACATCCTTATGTGGAAAAACTTACAGGTAGAAGATGCAATATCAGCCCTTCACCACTAAAAAAAAAAACAATACTGGCCGGGTGTGGTGGGTCACGCTTGTAATCCCAGCACTTTGGGAGGCTGAGGCAGGCAGATCACGAGGTCAGGAGTTTGAGACCAGCCTGGCCAATATGGTGAAAGCCCGTCTCTACTAAAAATACAAAAATGAGCCAGGCGTGGTTGCAGGTGCCTGTAATCCCAGCTACTCAGGAGGCTGAGGCAGGAGAATCGCTTGAACCCGGGAGGCAGAGGCTGCAGTGAGCCAAGATCATGGACTGTGTCTCAAAAAAAAAAAAAAATACTGACATGTAAGATCTAAATATCCGCGAACCACGGCCTACATAAAGGCTTAGGTTCCAAAGGGACCACTGGGTACTGCGGAGGGGGGAGGGCGGCCCCTGCGGGGCGTGGCAGGGCTTCCACCGGCCCTTCGTCAACCAAAGCGCCTCTTCTCTGTTAGCTAAGCTGAGTGTGCTGCTTTAAGAGGTCAGCAAACCCTGTTCTGGGGTAAGGGCTGGCGACCTCCTGGCATGGGACTGTGGACACAAAGCCAAGCACTTCTCCAGGAGCAGGCAGATTCTGACGTTGTGGGAGAAGGAGACGGGTGGAGAACTCCAAGAACACACCGCCTCTCGTCGCCTGAGTTGAGAGCCAAGCCCAGCTTTGACTGCCACCCAGTGGCAGCCCAGGCTGCCAACAACGATTCCCGTGGGGGCCCTCGCTGCCTGGCGCTCCCTGAGAACCAAGCAGAAAATGCCTTCCAGTGCCCCTCTGCTAACCCAGAATCCCACCAACCCCCAACTGCTCGTACAAACAGAGCAGAAAGAACCATTCGTACCACTTGCAAGCATCCTCATTCTTTTTTTTTTTTTTTTTT